TCTCTTCTCAGTAAAAAGAAAGTTTAAAGACGTAAACATAGATTTCCTTTACAATACAAACTACTGATAGCATTGCAGCACAGCTTTCTTGAATGGTAATTTAGAAAAGTGGCAGATTGAAATTCCTGCTTATCTCTATCCTTGAAATTCTATAAAAATATCACATCATAGTAATTTTTCTAAAGATTGTGGCAAGCTGATTACAAATAAAAAGAATGAATTGTTGATCCATCTATGGCAACAATTACAGCTCCTCTAGTCTTTCTGGGATTTGATGCCACAAACATTCTTCTTGGCCAAACACCTCAAGCTCCATCTGGCTGAATGGGAGATGTCTGTGCAGAGCCAAATCACTCCAGAGAAGCTCAAGCTCTGGTTTCAAGTCTAAACTCTGGCTTAGCCACACATAGTGGTTCTGAAGCCACTCCTTTTGTGCGCCTGGGTTGTTTTCCTGCAAAACAAAACAAGGTTGTTTTTTTGTTTTTTTTAACCATGTCTCTGTACTTTGCTACATTCATCCTTGCCCCTATCCTATCTGCCGGTTTCCACTGAGGGAAAAAGAAAAATCAACATAGCATGATGCTGCCACCACAATGCCTCATTGTTTTCTCCAAACATCATGAGAAGTTTAGAAAACTTGGTACTATGTGTGCTTTCTTATGTGTTTTTCCTATTCATATTTGTCTAAACCAATAAGGATCCTGATTGGATCTTTCATTTTTGAGACCATCAGTGACTAATGTGAGAATTGCTTTTAAGTCATAGCAGAGCCAATGGCTATTGTTTTTCATTGAATCCCCAAATGAGACTAAACCCTCACAGTGATGTTATAGTCCTAAATGCTTTGAACATGATGAGTCATGTGTTACTGGCCCATATGCTCAGTTAAATATTAAAATTTAAAGTCATCGGATCTAAAGCTCTTATTTTGAAAGATTAACGATTTGCTAGCTTAACGTAAGATAAACTTTACATCATCAGCGATATTAGATTTGATTTTGTATTTTAATAATCAGATTACCTCGCAAAAATATATCTTTGGTGATTCATTACAACAAATGAATAGAAATCAAACAGCTTTTCGTTCTAGTTAGCAAAAAACAAGCTAGCATTAGCACTAGCGCAAACATGCTACAGGAAGTAAGAAATTTAACAGTAAGGCACACCTGCAGTTAACTATAACAGGGTGTGAATAAAACAGTTTTCGACATTAATGTTAATGAGGAATTTGTTTTGTTTTCAAGAAGGGCCTCTTAACTATTTTAAATCTGCTCTTCAGACCTCCTCTTCTTTACTTTTCACTCACTTTACACAGTGTAAATTCTGTTATATTTCCTATCAATTATGTATATTTCTTTTTAACCTACTTTTACATTGATTTTCTTTTTTTGTTTTACTTTTAAACACTCAATTATTTATCATTTCTAATATTTTATTCCACTTTAAACTTTTGTTTTTGATCAAGCATTTTGCTCAAAGCCTACATTTTTAAAGTTCCTCATAAAATAAAAGTTATCCCTGCTCGGCTTATTAGTCCTAATAGTAGGACAACATGATAAAGGTTTATTTAGCAAAAAAGGATATGTTTTCTGACCATTTATATACCTATTATATATATATATATTAAACAATTAATAGTATATCATTTATTAACATTATTTGCTGATGTTGGATATAAACCGTAGAATATCAGTGGTGTATCTAGAAAGATAACAAAAACAAGCTTTCTAATGTTTTTTAGTTTAATTCAATTCAATGCAGTTTATTTATGTAACGCCAATTAACAACATACCTCTTCTCAAGGTTTTACAGAGACAATTTAAGGGAGTGATACAATAAAACTGGTTAAACGTTTTCTACCAGAGGAAACCCAGCTGATTGCATTGAGTCACTGACTTTCCACGATTTGCACCTCCTGGATAAACATGTGATGACCGTAGACATTTCCGTGCACTATACATGCACAGCTCTATGTAAACCTCCCTCTATTATTATTATTATTATTTTCTAAATTCATATATTCCCTATTTAGTTCTCCCATTTTGGAAACCCATTCCTAACTCTACAGGGGCTAATCTGACAAAGTGCTTCTAAGTTATTGGACTCTTCTTTTTACATTTGCCTTAAAACCCCAAATGAAACCCTAGCGTTGCTGTGAAGTAAATGTCAGGAGATGCCCATTGGAATGCAGTCAGATTAATATTTGAAGTTGAATGCCTCAAGATAAACAGTCGGCGCCATTAAACCGTAGCAGAAGACAGGAGAGCAAATTTCTGAAAGATTAAGTGAAAAAAAATTGATGGAATAATGATATTTCTGTAAAGTTCACCCAGCTGATTATCATATAGATGACTGAAGACAATTTAAAAGCATATACAAAATATCTGCACTCAGCTTGTGTAATTATAATGGTGATAATAATTTTATGACCGAATTTGGATAATATGCTGCACTATTGTTGTTGATATTCGACACTGTTTGAAGTTTGCTTTTTAATTGTTTTCTGTATATGTGTGAAAGTCAAAGCAAGCAAGCAGAAACAATATTTGCACCTACTGTTATTTTTCTCCACTTCAAAGACCTTTGGGATACTGTTGCTTCTGTCCCACAGGAACAAAATGGCTAAATAAATGGTAACTATACCACAGGTAGAGAAAGTGAATATATGTGGCATCCATACCCTGTCGAAACCTTAACTATTCTATACAGTGATGTATTTTTCCTTTAGAAATGTAAACAAACAGAAAAGCATAGCTAGGTAATGGAGTATGGATTTCCATTATCTGGATTTCACTAAACACAAAGTGCAATAAGAAATGTAGGTTAATCGCAAGAGGAAGAAGAACTGAGCTGATCATCGTGGAGGAAGAGGAACGTCTAAGAGGTGTTGACATTCTGAACTTGAAGCATTCAAAATCTTTCCACTAACTTAACCTTACATGTCCTAGAGCTTGACTCTAATGACTCTCAGGCCAGCATGGATGCTGATGTGGAAGGCGACGAAGCAAATACACAGAACAATATTCACCTTCAGAGCTTAAATAAGTTTAATTCTGCTATAGCCCCATTTTATCCCCCGCCTGGTTGGTTTCTGTACATATTCACCAATTAGAATGCCATACTCCTATAGCATCACCTTCATGTGATTTTCCTGTAAAAGCAACAGCATTAAGTCTAAACCCTACAGCTTAGCTTATCTAAAATACGTATCTTTCCTGAGAAAACCTAGAGTTTTATTCTTTTTTTACCCTCTGTTTCTCTTTTGAGATTGCTTGAATGATGATGATGATGATGAATGTATTGTGTATATATTTATATCTTTATTATCTTGTGTGGTTGGTTGTGTATATATATATATATATATATGTATATATATATATATATATATATATATATATATATATATATATATATATATATATATATATATATATATATATAAAACACTGTAACTGGAGTGTGTAAAGTAATTTCCTTCTGGGATTATTAAAGTAGGCCTATTTGTGATTCGGATTCTGTATGTGTTGAACTGCAGAGGTGGATCAGACCCAAAGCATACAGCCAGCATCTCCTAGCCAATACTGAATTTTGACTTGACCTGCCAATTCCTTTTTTTTTTTTTTTTTTTTTTTTTTAAGGACTGTTACACCTCAGAGAGAAAATAAACTATGCTAATGAAACTATGCTTTTTGGAGGGGGGTGGATATATCAGTTTTAGATCCAGAAGAACATAAATCAAGGATCAAGGCAAAACCAAACACTGATTGATTGATTGATCCTACATACCTAATTTTTATGACCTAACAATCATAATGCAACATATCAACTGGACTGAATGATTTTATAAAATCTTCCAATCAATTTAAATGATTACTGACATCGTAGTCTGCTTCGGTCCTTTTCACAAACATATTATTCCTGAATGTCCCCATATGCTGCTGCCATTCATTCACACCACAACTACAGACCTTTGCAGGAGGAACGTGATTTACAACAAGAATAGAAAATATTTACACAAAGGAATCCTTCACAGAAGCCTCATACCCTACAAGATGTCACCACAGGCATAAGTATAAAAGAAAGAGGTTGATTCATCTTTAGAAACAATTAGCGACAAAAGGAATACAAGACCTGACGATGAAATCTTGTTCTGTAGATGTTAAATCCTATCCCAAGAGACCAGGGTTTATTTCACACACAAGTTCCTTAAGAGAGCCCCTTTTCAGCTCTTTTTTTAATCAAGTGTAAATTTGGGTCAGTGTATGCGAGAGGGTTGGTGAGCTGAGGGGCCACCTATCACATCTCAGCCATCAGTGGAAGGTATAGCAGCACAGAAAGCACCAACACTGAGCACATTCACAGAGCAAACACAGGCATCAAAATGAGGCGTGGGCTTGCTTTCGCTGGGGTAGCAGTTACAATGGGGCCTCTGGCACTCATGAATAATAGGAGACAGATAACTAACAATCCACACAGGGCAAGACCCTTATCTGTCAATTATGATCATATTCTTTTTTGGGTTGTTTTTTTTTTTTTTTTTTTTTCATTGGTGCTTCAGTCACCAGGCAACATGCAGCTCTCCTCAGAATAATCAGTTTTGCTATTTAGACTAGGTGGGACTTCATCCCATGTTAATGATTTGCATATCAGCTTAGATCACAGGAAAGTACATCTAGCAGTGCATCCTCATGGGCGGCTGGAACACCCAAAAACTAATATTTCTCTGTGAATATACTGAATTATTTAGCTTATCAGTCAAAATTATGAGTTTGACCTGCAGGATGCAAACAAAAAAGAAAAAAAGAAAAAAAAACTAGAAAAGGTAACACAATTCCTTAAATCTGATGGCATGTCTCCAAAAATGAAGAGTTTTTTTGACCTTGCGGTACAACAGAGCTGTCAAATGAGAACTATTTCAAGTCTTGGGTTTGGTTTCCTATAGAAATAATAATAAAAAAGAGTGAAGAGACGCAACCCGCGCTATAAAATCATATATTTACCTTTCAAATGAAACATAGAACCCAGTCAAAGGAGGCTGGCCGGGATGTGATTTCCTCCCAGGAGCTCAGTAGACATACTGAGGGCTAAAATGGGACCGACTGCGCCTTTGGAGATATTTCAGGTAGCTATCCCAAAAGATGCGTCTTGGCTCCTATAATATTTGACGGCCTGTACAAGGAGCGATGCCCTTCAAGAAATCCATCAATTCCTCCTCCCAGCGATCCTCTCACACCATTAATAAGATGTCTTCATTTTTAGGATGAGTAAATAAAAAAAAAAGGGGGGGGGGGGGCGCAAGGGGTGCGTGAGGGGTCCCAGTGTGGCTCTTTTTTTCCTGGTGCGGGATCGCCTCTATTGCGCATCCAGAGGAGGAGAAAACGCCTTTAATACACGGAGCTGGTGTTGCGCTGAATCCGACCAGATGTTCGTCTCGCTTTCACTGTCTTTTTTTTTTTTTTTCTCAATCCGCAACGCAGGGCTCAGTCAGTGCGAGTTAATCCAGATTGACTGTCGTTGTAGGCGGTAAACTCCCCGCTTTGCCCCCGGACCGCTGTCTGCCACCGACCCGGCTCCATGTCTTGACCAGCGCCGCTGTGTCCGGAATGGTAATTCGTGCGCTCCGAGCTGCACAGAGAGCGTCTGTGTGCACAGGCAGATGCAGCAGTAACCTCGCAGCCTATCTCGCAGGCAGGCATCATTATTTATTAATGTAGACTGAACTCTGCTGCACGAAAAAAATAAATAAATAAATAAAAAATGCAGCGGATTTATAATCTGTGAGAATTAGGCTACTAAAAAAAAGCTGATTATTTTTGCTTAGATTCACACTCATGCCATGAAAGATAAACCAAACCCATCAGTTTCTTATGCATCAAGTATTTGTGGCATGGCTCTGCATTTTTTTGTCTTTCTTGGAAAAAAGCAAAAATAGCAGCCTGTACAGCAGAGCGTTCCCTTATGTATTGGATAGATTTTTGGCAAGAAAGTGTTGAGTTGGCTAAAGCAGAACGCCCTGGCTCCCTTAGGGTCTACTTGGCACTGAATCCATCATTATTTGATGCACCCACCCCAAAGCCTTTTGTGCAAGTTGGCAAAGTATGGCCTGTGTGAGTGCAAAAGTTGACAATGTCTGTTTTGATGGGGTTTTTTGTGTGCAAAACTATCCAACAATCTGAACACCTTTTCTCATCTAAACCAACATTTATTTATTCTTTTTATTTGTCTTTGCAAATTGCTCCAGCATACTGCTGAGCGATTGTGAAAATAAATGTTTAATTATTTCCACTGATTTTTAAATGCACCATGATCTGGACTTAGATTAGGACATTATATCAGGGGATGTGAGTATATTTAAATGTTCAATTGTAGCTCTGACTGCAGGCAAACCTCCAGCCCAGTATCCAACCTTCTGCAGCCTCTAATAGGTTTTCTTCCAGGACTGCCCTGTATTTAGCTCCATCCATCTTCCTACCAGCTCTCAAACATTTCCCCCAGTGCAAATCCTAATTAATGAGGAATACGGAAGATAAAACTCTCCTTTAAAACAAAGCAAAACTGTCTCTCCAAAGTAAAAGTTGAAAAAACTTTCAATATCTATGTTAACAGCATATATATAACAAAACACTGTTTGGAGGCAATAATAACTGGGTCATAAATTGCAGATATTATGAGCTCACGCTTTGCCAATGTTAATTTCAGCTTGCTGATAAAGTGTCACAGTGGCAGATGTCCACACCTGACACAGATGACACTTCCCAAGATGCCAAAAGTCACAGAGAGTGCTGCAGGCACAGATGAGAGAGAGGAGGGGGAAATGTGTGGACTTATCACACCTTATGATGTTGCAATGCAATTTGCCAACATTGTCCAGTCCTGGCTGAAAGGGAGTTGGAGTCGATGAGACGAGTTCATCAGTCACAACTCTCGTTGTTGTTTAGCCATTGATCACTGCAGCTCCTCCAGAGTAACATTGGGCTGCCTCTCTGATTGTTGCCATTCTAGCTGTTATTATGGTTTGGTTTAGTGTCCTTTTGAGGATGACGGCTAATGTGGTCACCGGCCCCACATTAAACTTCTCTCCACAACTCTTTACAGTTCATTTCATGAGCATAAATTAAACTCAGGTTTACCCTCTGTGCTGATCAGGTAAATCCTAAAGGAAATAAACCGATTTTATTCATTAATATCACATTAAAAGAAGCTAATTAGTAAAATATTTATAAATGATTTAAAAAATCTTGTTATATTGTTTCCACTTTATATTTATGCAGGGCTTTTTGTCGGTGTAGCACATAAAAAAAAACAATAAAGCACATTAAAGTCTGTTTTGGACTGTAAGAAATTATGAAAAACATCAAGAGGTTTGAATATTTTTACAATTTTCTGAAACAAAGCCTCAGACCCCTCCTTGGGCTTCTTGTGAAATAGCTGTTTGCTGTGACCATCATAAAATTGCCCCAAGGATTGGTAGGAATCAATTAACTAATCCAGTTCCACACAAGATCAATAGGAATAACAGGTGGCTAAGGGATTTCTCTAGAACTGGGATGACAGGAGCCCTTTGATCAGTTGATTGTGCTGTTTTGCATTCACACAATCTGATGGATATGTCTGGGAAAAGAAAAAAAAAGAGCTGCAATCAGTCTTTGTTGTTTCCCCTCATTTAGTGAGATCACCCACTAGTCAGTAAATTTCCAGCAGTTTCTTTCTTTTTGAAGTGATTTTAAACACACGCTGACACACAGTAAAAACCACACTTAAAAGCATTTTATTGTCTTTTGTTTGTCAGCCACATGGACGATGGTGGCATTTTGCTGCTGGGAAGTGTTAATGTCAGGGCTTGTCTCTGACCTACTGAAAAGTGTCTCATCTGTGTGATCGTCAGCTGACAGTTGGTGATATCAATGACGCTGCAATGCTTTTGTTTGTTTAGGTTTTTTTTTCCCGTCTCCCTCCTTGCTCCTTAGGTGTTGAGACTCCACTATTCAAGTCACACAGAAAGGACTGGAAGGTGAGGGCCTCGGCACGCACTCCGGTGCGGCTCTTTTTTACCAAGAACAGGGCCGTGGTGTCCCACTGGGGGTCTGCGACGCTGCGACTCCACGGGGTCTCTGTGATCCCCAGTAGCTCACGTACACGAGCAGAGATGACCTGCAGGACACACAGCAGGGTTGAGGCCTTTGATAGTGAAAGCTTTACACAATCTAAATCTACTTAATAAGGCACCCCGCTGAGACGATGGAGATTCCATGACACAACATAACTGTTCATGTATGAGAGAAGGATTTACTTGCAAACTAATTGTATTGCAAAACAAAGGGAGATTGTTCTACATCTAGTTGCTTTAAAAACCTTGATTAGTTTAACGGGATTTCATGTGGCAGACCATTGCAAACAAGTTCCTGATTGTAAAGTGTGAGGAAAAATACAGCCTTTATAGTCTTAAACATATTAAAATCTGCAAAGTGTGCCATGCATTCCTATTCATTCCGCAATACACTGATGCTTCTAAATAAAGTCCAGCTGGGTACAGAAATGAAAGGATCATCAATAAATAATTCAGTTTAATTCAATTCAAAATACTTTAAGGGAAATTAAATGTTGGAGTAACTCATAGGGTTTGGTTTTCTCCACAAAGATGTTGTAAGGTGTTGATAGCTGTAGGTAGGAACGATCTTCTGTATCGGTCTGTTTGCACCGGATCTAGAGAAGCCTCTTACTGAAGTCACTCTGTTGTTGTCTAAAAATCTTCTGAAAATCTTTTGTCACTTCATGAAAAAAATCTTCTTTGAGAAATCCTCCAGAGGTTCTAGAGGTGTTCCAATAAGAGAGCTCTCCTTCTTAACATCAGCTTGTTGACTTTTTAAAGTCATTTGGTCTGATGCTGTTACCCCAGTAGATGATGGAGGAAGAGATCACACTCTAAGCAACAGATTTATAGAAGATATGAAGCATCTTGTTGTAAATGGAGGACCTAAGTTTCCTTAGGAAGTATTATCTGCTCTGTACCTTCTTGTAGAGGGCTTCACAGTTGTGTTTCCAGTCTAGTTTGTTGTCCAGCTGAACACCAAGGTATTTATACTTCTCAACCACGTCCACTTCTTCTCCCATGATATTAACAGGATTCAACTTGTTCCTATTTCTTCTGAAATCTACAATAATCTCTCTTGTTTTGTTGACATTTAGGATCAGATTATTGTTTCCACATCATGTCAAAAACAGGTTCACAAGCTCTCTGTACTCAGCTTCTTATCCATCTTTGATGCACCCGATGACTGCAGAGGCATCTGAGTATTTCTACAGATGACAGGACTCTGCCTGGTACTGGATGTCAGAGATGTACAAAGTGAAAAGGAATGGATGGAATGCTGCTAACTACTGCAGCTGACCCCTCAGTCTAATAAACTGTGGTCTTTTTGTCGAGTAGTTTTTGATCCAGGCGATGGTTAATCCTCTACCTGAGTCTTCTGGGGGTTCACACAAAGTAAGTTAGGTTGAATTGCATTAAATGCAATGGAGAAATCAAAAAAATGATCCTCACAATGCACTCTGCCTTGTCTAAATGATAGTGGGTTTGTTGAAGCAGGTTTATGATGACATCATAAAACTTCAACTCCATGGCAATAAGTACTCTGCGGGGGGTCTTGAAAGCAGCTTGTTTGTTTACTGAGGCACACCAACAGAAGTCTCTCTTGGGCCTTCATGATGTAGGATGTCAGGCCAACAGGTCTATAGTCACTGAGGACTGCTGGCTGAGTCTTCTTTGGTACTGGAACAAGGCAGGAGATCTTCCGCATCACTGGAACGTTCTACAGGGTCAGACTAATGCTGAAAAGATGCTGCAGAAACCCACCGAGCTGCTCTGCACAGGCCTTTAGGACTCTTGGGCTGACACCATCAGGACCTGGTTACGTATTACAAATCAGTCTCTCCAGTCGCATCTTTTCTTGACCTCCAGAAATAGAGAGAGGAAAAGTAGAGGGAGAAGAACCATCTACTGATACACTATATTGCCAAAAGTATTTGCTCACCTGCCTTGACTCACATATGAGCTTAAGTGACATCCCGTTCCTAATCCATAGGGTTCAATATGACGTCGGTCCACCCTTTGCAGCTAGAACAGCTTCAACTCTTCTGGGAAGGCTGTCCACAAGGTTTAGGAGTGTGTTTATGGGAATTTTTAACCATTCTTCCAGAAGCGCATTTGTGAGGTCGCACACTGATGTTGGACGAGAAGGCCTGGCTCTCAGTCTCCGCTCTAATTCATCCCAAAGGTGTTCTATCGGGTTGAGGTCAGGACTCTGTGCAGGCCAGTCAAGTTCATCCACACCAGACTCTGTCATCCATGTCTTTATGGACCTTGCTTTGTGCACTGGTGCACAGTCATGTTGGAAGAGGAAGGGGCCAGCTCCAAACTGTTCCCACAAAGTTGGGAGCATGGAATTGTCCAAAATGTCTTGGTATGCTGAAGCATTCAGAGTTCCTTTCACTGGAACTAAGGGGCCAAGCCCAGCTCCTGAAAAACAACCCCACACCATAATCCCCCCTCCACCAAACTTTACACTTGGCACAATGCAGTCAGACAAGTACCGTTCTCCTGGCAACCGCCAAACCCAGACCCGTCCATCAGATTGCCAGATGGAGAAGCGCGATTCGTCACTCCAGAGAACGCGTCTCCACTGCTCTAGAGTC